AATGGTAAAAAGCCAAAGAAAGTGATGATGAGAGAAGCTAAGTCCAGTAATTTTATATTTTATTCAATTTTTAAATTAAATCCTCCCAAAACTTATGTTAAACCTGAGTTAACTCTTTAAAAGCCCCCTGTTCCTGCTGATAGGCAGAATCATAGCCTTCAGGACAGAAGTCTGCTAGCAAAGCAATAAACCTTTTTCCTTTTTCTAAAAAAAAAAAAAAAACAATCAGTAAACATGAATTGATTCAATAGCAGAAAGTCAATCACTGGCCAAGCTAGTGACTCACCTTGGCTTTTTGAAAAGCTCAGAACAGTGACCTTGAGGCTAAATACCACACATCTAAGGAGAGCCTGGTGGGGAAATTACTTATCTGGCAGTACTGAATGTCACCAGTATACCACATACATAGGAAGGCTCATTTGTAGGATATTTATATATGCAATAAATGTGCCTGATTGAGACCTTACGGGCTTTTTACCACTGTGTAAATGAAAGGGCCCTGGGTTAGTGCTGATCTTTGGGGGGCATACTGGTAGCCCCTGAAAAGTATGTTCAGTAGAACTTAATGAGCAAGAAAAAAAGGTTTTCTGTGGCATGGGTGAGAGAAGAAAATTATCATTTAAAGACAGAGTGCAAAGGAAATTAGGAGTTGTGAGAGTCGGAAGGAGAGACAAGGCACCAGTGCCTGACACAGCACTCAATGAGGAGATGTTCAAAAACTGACAGGTACACACAGGGCAGTGAACTGTAGAACCCACCAATGGAGTCCAATCTGTAAAGACGTTAATGGGAAGAAGTACTTTGAAATTAATTGTACTGCCCAAAAATAGGTAATGGAACTTCCATGAGTTGAATGCCAGTTGTAGTTGATCTATCCTTGTAATAATTCCAAACTCATGGGGTTCATTCCCACTAGCAGATGAGGTGTCCAAGGTTTAAAGAGCAACATGTGGACAGTCATGAATAGAAATCAGGAGTCAGAATTAAGCTGACTTTAAAACTTTCTGCACTGCCACTCTACATCCTTCAGGTTCCTTAAAACCATCAAAGTCAGTGTGTAGCTCCCCTTTACATCCTAGGTGGGTATATGATTGATGACACACAGTTGTTTCTGTTAAGAACTATTAGTACTCCATTATGATACCACATGGCTCCAGGGAAGCCTGTGGCCTCTGTCCAAAGGTGACTCCTTGAGTCCGTGCCATTTCGTGCCTTACTTATTGCCTTTCTTTATGCTTTCTGGTCCAACAGGAATCTCTTCCTATTACTAGTGAATTCCTGCTCAGATCAGGCATCAGCTGTTCCTGGAGGCCTTTCTGGAACTTTTTCCCCCACCTATCCACACAGGCTTTTCTTTGTACTTCCATAGTATTTTTAAAAAAATATTTTTTAGGGGCTGGGGATGTGACTCAAGCGGTAGCGCGCTCGCCTGGCATGCGTGCGGCCCGGGTTTGATCCTCAGCACCACATACAAACAAAGTTGTTGTTGTGTCCGCCAAAAACTAAAAAATAAATATTAAAAAACTCTCTTTCTTTCTCTCTCTCTCTCTCTCAAAAAAAAAAATTAGTTGTAGATGAACACAATATTTTATTGATTTTTTTAGGTGGTGCTAAGGATCGAACCCACTGCCTCACGTGTGCTAGGCAAGCACACTCTACCACTGAGCTACTGCCCCAGCTCTGGAGAATTGAGTTTTTAAGGGGGGGAATGGGTCTTCATCAAGTAGTAGTCTTGTTCGTTATAGGCACCTAGTTGTTGGGTCTTTCTGGTTAAACACAGCATGCTGATTTTTCTCCACTCAAATTTATCTATTTGCTAATTAAGAGTTTACATGTGTTAGGTGTCTTGCACTCTGGTGTTTTCTTGGTTGATTATCAAGTTTTTTTTCAGGATTTTTTCCCTTAATTTGTGCACACTTTTTTGAAATATATTTTATTTTGATAGTTAGATTTCTTAACCTTTAAGCACTCATTATTTTTTGCTTTAAAAGGAGACACCCAAATTATCTTCCCTAATGGTATCATCTAATAAATGTTCCTTGTATATCTCATTCTTGTTTTGCTTTAGATTCTGTGAAACCCATTGGCAAAGTAGATTGCCAGCCTAATAGGTGGCTCCCTGTGTGGGTGCAGTATGGAGGGCCTTAGTAAATTACACATTCCTATTCCAAGAAAAATGTTCTGTTCATGTATTCAAGGAGTCATTTTTCATTATCTACCATATCTAAGCACTATGCCAGTTGCTGGGATTATAAAGATAAATAATACTCAAGTCTCTGCTCTCATCATTGTTCAACATGGGAGTCAGAAACAACTTAGAATCTTAGAATTCTCCCTCTATTGAGTTCTGATGAAAAAAATGTAAATGTTCAGGAGTTGCTTTGGGAGTATGGGGAGGCCAGACCTACTCCATCTTGAACTTTGTGGTTAGAAGGTAACATTTGAACTAGGAACACACTAAGTAGTAGTGGGTAAAGGACTCTCTTATAAATAAACAGCATTTGCAAATTGCTTTACTACCTCTACATTAAAATTACATCCAAAAAAGCTTTTCAACCTAAACCCCTGGGTTAAACACATGTTGAAATGGAGGAGAGGAAAGAGCCTTAGGGATTGAGAACCCTCAATTAGGGAGTAGAGTTACTAGAATTCCATCCTTAACAGTTTTGTCTATATTTAGACTTGGGTCTAAAGAAAGAAGGTGAGATCCTTTTGCTGTAAATTTTAAAATTTTTTAATTTGAAAAGTTGCTGAGGCTGGCCTCAAACTTGAAATCCTTCTGTCTCAGCCTCCCAAGTCACTGGGATTACAGGTGTGTACCACCACTCCCAGCTTAAACAGATTTCTAGGGCTGGTTTTGTGGCTCAGTGGTAGAGCACTTGCCTAGCATGTGCAAGGCACTGGACTCCATTCTCAGTGCCACGAATAAATAAGTAAATAAATAAAATAAATGTCCACCAACAGCTAATAAAATATTTAAAATATTTTTTTAAAAAGATTTTTGAAATCACACAGAACATGGTTTTAGTTCTGTGTCTGAAGATGGTCCAATAAGAACAGTTTAGACTTACTCTGAATTACTGTTATTGTCAAGACTGACCACCTACTCTGAAATTTTTTTCTCCATCAGTATAGAAATGTTTACTTGAAAAATTCTTCTTAGCCTACTCAAGGTGTACTATTTTCCCAATTTAAAAAAATTGTGATAAAACATACAACATAACCATCCTAACTTTTTTTTTTCCTTTTGGTACTGGGGACTGAACCCAGATGCACTTTACCATCCCCAGCCTTTTTTATTTTGAGACAGAGTCTTGCTAAGTTGCTTAGGGCCTCACTTAATTGCTAAGGCTGGCCTCAAACTCATGATCTTCCAGCCTCAGTCTCCCAGGTCACTGGGATTACAGGTTATACCACTGCACTCAGCTGAGTTTTTATCTGAATAAAACTTAACTTGCATTTGCTAGTGGATTAAAAATTATAAAAGCAGTGAAGGAAAATTTTTAAATTTTAATTTGCAGTTAGTTTACAGGTACAGTATTTTTTTTAATGCACTCTATTCTGTTGTGAGATTTGGGATAATTGTTATTATTTTTTAAGAGTTGGGGTCTCACTATATTGTCCAAGGCAGGCCTCAAATTCTTAGACTCAAGTGATGGTCCTGCCTTGGCCTCCTAAGTAGTTGGGAGTACATGCAGACCATTGCACCTGGCTCTTAATTACTTTTATTCTCTATAGATAGGAAGTTGAGATACATTTCTGGCTTAGGTCACGTAGCAAAGGATTGGGAGTCTAAAGCAGGAATTCATACTTCCTAACATTATGCTGAATAATCTCTCACTTGGTTCATGCTCCTTGGAGCATCTATATTTTCTAATTTGGCTTAAAAAATTTTTTTAAATATTTATGTTTTTAGTTGTAGTTGAACACAATACCTTTATTTCGTTCATTTATTTTTATGTGATGCTGAGGATTGAACCCAGGGCTCCCGTGCATGCTAGGCGAGCGCCCTACCGCTGAGCCATAATCCCAGCCCCATGGTTTAAAATTTTTACGTTAGCTTTAGGCTTTTTTCTTACAAAAATAATGTAGTCATTTAAAGTTTTTCAGAAAATATAGAAAAATATTAAAGAAGGGCTGGGAATATAGCTCAGTTGATAGGGTGTTTGCTCGCATGCACAAAGCCCTGGGTTCAATTCCCAGCATCTCACACAAAAAAAAAGAAAGAAAAATATTAAAATGAGGTGTATGTGTGTGTTCCAGTATTCCTAGTGCCTAGAAATGATTACTAATATTTTATTGTATCTATTTCAAACTGTAACCTTTTCATCTCAAATATAATTTAATGTCAATAAATATGTGAAAATTTTAGTTGCTACATATAATTGTATTATAATAATGTTTCATTATGCCAGGTGCAGTGGCGCATGCCTGTAATCCCCATGGCTCAGGAGGCTGAGACAGGAGGGTTGCCAGTTCAAAACCAGCCTCAGCAATGGCAAGACACTAAGCAACTTAGTGAGACCCTTCTCTAAGTAAAATACAAAAATAGGGCTGGGGATGTGGTCAAGTGCCCCTAAGTTCAATTGCCAGTACCCGCCCCCAAAAAATAATAATAATAATTGGATTCTTACTGATAGACTTCTAGATTGTTTCCTTGGGTTTTTTTTTTTTCCTATTATAAATAGTGTAGTGATAAAATCCTTAATGTATGTATCTTTTTATACTTTTCTGATTATCTCTTTTTTTCAAATTTTGTGTTGTGGATGGACACAACACATTTATTTTATCTTTTTTTTTTTTTTTTAATGTGGTACCGAGGATTGAACCCAATGCCTCACACATGCTAGGCAAGTGCTCTAGCACTGAGCCACAACCCCAGCCCTTCTGATTACTTCTTTAAGAAAATTTTCTAGGAATGTGGTTCCTGGGTCAAAGCGTTTGCCTACTATAATGTTATTTATTAAACTAAAATACTATCCTATCCAGTACCCAACCTGGGCCAGTGCTGGGGATTGAACCCAGGGCCTTGTGCATGCCAGGCACATACTGTACCACTGAGCTACACCTCTAAGTCTATAGTCTTTTATGTTCTTTGTCACTTTGGACATTTTCTTTCTCTTCACCTCCGCTTGGCAAGCTGCAGGAGAAATTACATTCTGAGTAGTTTAGGGAAGAAGAGTATGGTGTTCTAAGAACTGGGTTAAATGCTCTACTTTCATTTAATTCTTGCAACAGTCTACAAAATACAGTTAGATTAGGCTTACCAAAAGTGTTACACGAATCTGCAGCTGATACTTTTCTCCCAGCAGGTAGCTGTGATATCACACACTAAGAATAATAGCTGTCACCAGGAGCAGTGGTACACTCCTGTAATCCCAGTGACCTGGGAGGCTGGGATTGCAGGTCCAAGGCCAGCCTCAGCAATTTAGTGAGGCCCTAAGCAACTTAGTGAGACCCTGCCTCAAAATGAGAAAAAGAACTGGGGATGTAGCTCAGAGGTAAAGTGCCCCTAGGTTCCATTCCTGGAACAACAACAACAACAAAACAAAAAAACTGGAATAATAGCTGCCATTGAGTACCTTCCTTTAACAGTTACCACTCAAGAAACCTTATCTCTGTGTGTTATTATGGTTTAGATAGGAGGTGTCTAAAAAGCTCATGTGTGAGACAGTACAAGAAAGTTATTTATTTATTTTTATGTGGTGCTGAGGATCGAACCCAGCACTGCACGTGCTAGGCCAGCGCTCTACCGCTGAGCCACAACCCCAGCCCCTCCTGAGCTACTTTCTTCTGCCTGCCATGATGCTCTGCCTCACCTCACGCCCAGAGCAATGGAGTTGGCCATCTATTGATTGAGACATCTGAAATTGTGAGCCAAATAAATTTGTCCTCCTCTAATTGCCTTTGTTGAGTCTTTTGGTGGTAGAGATGGGAAAAGCTGCCTAAAATAATAGTCTTATGTAATCCTCCTGCAGAGGATCCAAAACCCACATAATTTTTATAGTTCTCTTCTTTAGGCTTTGGTTCCATGTCTGCATGGCCTCCGAGTTCATATGCCTTTGTTAGATGGCAATTTCTGGATGGCAGAGGCTTCCTGTTCATTTTTTTTTTTTTTAAAGTGGTTATGGCTGGTAGAAGCAGATGGAGCAGGAAAAATGGAATCTTTTTTTTTTTTTTTTTTTTTTTTAAGAGAGAGAGAGAGAGAGAGAGAATTTTGTTTTTTTAAAATATTTATTGTTTAGTTTTCGGCAGACACAACATCTTTATTTGTATGTGGTGCTGAGGATCGAACCCAGTGCCGCGTGCATGCTAGGCGAGCGCACTACCGCTTGAGCCACATCCCCAGCCCGAGAGAATTTTTTAATATTTATTTTTTTTTAATTTTCAGCGGACACAACATCTTTGTTTGTATGTGGTGCTGAGGATCAAACCCGGGCCGCATGCGTGCCAGGCGAGTGCACTACCGCTTGAGCCACATCCCCAGCCCTTCCTGTTCATCATTTCATTAATCCCCATGAACTATGGGGGTTACACTGGGCAAACTGCTTCTGTAGAAATGCTTTATGATTTGTGATGGTTATGGAAACCAAAGAAGACTTATAATTATCAAACACAGGGCCTCATGCATGCTGTTAGGCAAGTGCTGTACCACTGAGCCATGTCCCCAGCCCTTATTGACTTTTAAATTTATAAGTAAACTCCCATTTGATAGAAAAATAGCTGCATTTAAAAATTTTTTTTTGCAATCATAGATATGAAGAAACCTATAAACCACCAGAGGGCATTGCAGTCATCCTCCTATGTCTTCTTTATTGTAAATCTCTGCTGTCAAGAGATATCTGGTGAAATTTATTCCTAGTTAAAACAGAAAAAGAAACATTTTCAGAGAACTGTGGATTGAATTTAGAGCACTATCTTTTTTAAAAATATATTCTTAAATATATTTAGTTGTTGATGAACCTTTATTTAATTCATTAATTTATATGTGGTGCTGAGAATTGAACCCAGTGCCTCACACATGCCAGGCAACTGCTCTACCATAGAGCCTCAACCTCAGCCCTAGAGCACTAACTTGAAGCACTGTTTTTATCTTTAAAAACAAAGAATGGAGTAAATAGTATTTTGCTTAAGTTAAATTCTTTTTTTTTTCCCCCAAGCATATGCCTAAAATTTTGTGTGGGGGAAGGGTTACAGAGGCTTTTTGAACCAAGGGCCTCATATAAGCTGTATCGCTGAGTTACATGCCCAGCCCTTTATATCATTTATTTAAGACAGGGTGTCATTAAGTTGCCCAGGATGACCTTGAACTTATTATCCTCCTAGCTCTCCCAAGTAGCAGGGATTACAGGTGTGTGCCACCATGCCCAGCTAAACTTTTAAATTGTCATCTATAACTCTTTTAAGTCTTTTTTGGCTAGAGGATAAGTTCAGTACCTCCCAATAAAAATACAAATGGAATTCAGAGGCTGGCATTAGCACATGCCTCTCATCCCAACAATTTAAGAGGCTGAGGAAGGAGAATTGTAAGTTGTTGGCCTGTGCAATTTAGCAAGATCCTGCCTCAAGATTAAAAAAAAAAAAGTTAAAGAAAGGATTGAGGATGTAACTCATCTGGATTCAGACATACAAGTCACAGTTCTTTTTATCAGTAGCATCCGCCTCTTTATGGCCTGTATTAGCACCAATAAAAACTTGCAAAATTGACTGATCCAGTTTGTTAATTCCCACTTTTCTGTTTACCATCTGGTGAAAGTGTCAATAGTAAGAAAAATGATTAAAAGTCAGAATAGGTAAAAGACATTTTGACAATCCATGAATTGAAAAATCAATGCAAATTCTTATAAGCAAATGGTGTTGATGTAAACAGATACTCTACATCATCTGAAATAAATATTGTAAAGAGTGAAACTTCTAGGTTGTAGCTGACTAGATCACTCATTAATTTGGACTTCAGGAATATTTGAGATATTAATTTGTCTCACAACACTTATTTATTGAGTGTATTCATGCCAGGAACTTGCTAAGCACTCACATGCAAATATGACTGATAATTATTATTAGTCTTTATATATTGCTTTATAGCTTATAAAACAATCTAGTGTCTACTAACTTAATTTGGTAACCTATTTCAGACCTCTGAAACTGATTGGACAGGCAGTATCTCCATTTTATGTCTAGAGACAGCTTTGGATGTTTAAATAGCTCGTTCACACAGTCAGTAAATGACAAAAGGACGAAAGAGAAGTTTTCTGACTCCCAAGTCCCATCCTGTCCCACAACACTTTTTTGTCTTCCTCAGAAATGGCCTATTCTCTCAAGGGAGGGCTTGGTGGACATACTATGCCAAAGGACCCCAAAATAGATACAAGTGCTATATAGAGCATGAATAATAGGGATATTATAGGAACTTGATGGTTTTGATTGTTAACAAGCAACTTAGCAGATAAGTTAAGGAGTTTGCTAATACTATTTCTCTTTCTTCCAAAAATGAACAATAGATTCAGTATACCTTGCTGTGTCCCCACTTTTTACCTTTTTGTGTCCCCACTGCCCAACAAGGTAGGGCCAGCAAGGCCCTACCCTGCCACCACCAAAAAAAAAAAATCCTTTTTAAATGCTTAACTACTAGAATGTAACTCTTCAAAGTTGGGCCTCCCTACATTGTTCTTTAAGAATCGATTATACAGTAATGCCCATGTTAGAAAAATGGGCCCATCACTCAAGTGTCAAGCTTGGGTAAGAATGTCCCTGATATACACAAAGGTCTCTGATGTGCTTTGTATGTTTTTGGTAGTTTGGGGAGCATAATACCCTGGGTTGAGCTCTCTCAAGAACTTGCTGCATTAAGTTGTATTTCTTCATTTGCTTACCTACCACCCTTAGTGGACTAAGAGCTCTGAATCCTTGTTACCATTATCTCAGGCATTACTAAGACCATGTTGAGGTAGGTGGGGAATAGTGCTGAATTGGGGGTTGCTTAAAGTACTTAGAGTAGCAATCCCTAGGATAATATGTATTTTGACAAAAAGTAAGATATGACTTCCCTAAGCTTACTGCATTGGTGGTTTCACCATATTAAATATAATATGGTATTTACATTCTTACTTCATTCCAAACTGGGCAGATTTGAACTGAGAAGAAACGGCATAATCGTTGGACTTCTAAGCTACAAAGGTAAGACGGACTGAAAATAGGAAACTGGCTTGCTCCCACCACATCATGCTGTTTGGACCAGGGTTGTTCCTTTCCTGAGTGCAGGTTTTGTATTTGTGTCCCCACTGCCCAACAGTTGAGACTCATTAATGAGGCTTAATCATTATAATGGCCTTGTACCAAAGATACTCTGCTAATTGAGAAGTCTAGAAATAATTTTTGAGCATCTGCCATGTACCAACCATTTTGCTAAGCAATAGCAAATTGCTGTGAACAAGTCAGGCGAGTTGCCTGCTCTCATGGGACTTGCGTTAGATTTGAGGGAGAAAGATGAGTTACATAAATCAGACACAGAGCTGTAAAGAACACGAGATAGGGAACTTAGTGATCTAACGTGTTGTAACATATAATCACCAGCATCCATATGAGAGAAAGACACTGGGAGTAGGGCGTGTCTTTTTTGGTTGGTATCCCTGGGGATGGAACCCAGGGCTTTGAATATACTAGATGAGTGCTGTACTACTGAGCTGCACCCTTAGCCTCTCTGGGGGTTCTTACACATGTATGTACTTATATACGAGGAATGCAGACAAGTGGGAAGGGAGAACACCAAGACATGCAGAGACAGAAAGAGTTAGAATGCAGTACAGCACCATCCAACTAATAGAATTTATATAGGTCATTAAACTTGTGTGCATGCGCACACATATATATTTATATATGTTGGTGGGGGAGGCATCTCAGCTTTGCATCTTTATTTCCCTACATGACATGAGATAGTGCTGTCAATTCTCAGAAGTCAAAAGTTCCATTTCTAAAGTTGCTTTTGTCACCCTCATAAATATCATCTCCTTTATCTGAGATACTAATTGGGCTTTGTGTGTGCTGTACTGAATTGTAAAATATTATTTCCAC